TAAACTAAAAATAGAATTAATTATAAATAAGATTAATTAATATAAATTACTTATTTATCTGATTTAGTAATGATTAGCAATTATTATATTATGTGTTACATCTATATTATATATTGCATCATGTCTACTGCATTATATGAATAGGTGATTGATTACAATATTAAAATATTTTTAATAGAAATTAAAAAATATTATAATTACTTATTATATAAAATAATTTAACTTGAAATTATTAATATTTTATTATTTTATTATATTATTATTATTATTATTATTTAATTAATTTTTAAAAAATTTTTATTTATTAATAATTTATTAATATTTTTAATTATATTATAAAATTTATATTAAATTTATTATATAAATAATTAATTTTGAATGAATTTTTTATATAAAAATACTAAATAAATAATCTTGATTTGCTTGTTTTTTATTAATAACTATTTATATAATTAAACATTTAATTATAAAAAGATATAACTATAAAGAAATCTGACTATATTAAAATAATTTATAATAAAATTCATATTTTAATAATATAATTTTTTTTAATTTATATTTTATATTCTTTATTATAATTTATTTATAAATATTATTATTATAGCTCAAAATTACTAATATTATTGCAAAGTTCTATATAGAATTTTAAAAAAATTCAAAAATTTATGCAAATTATTAATAAATCAATAATTTATGCAGATTTTTGAATTTTTTTCTCCTTATTAATTGCCACCAGATTCAAAGTTTTATACAGATCTTCAGATGCACAAAACTATGTCTATTATGAAGTTTTTATGTTATAAAAATAATAAAAAATGCAGCAAAATATTTTATTAATCAAACGCCATGTAATTGAAATGCATTAACTTTTTCACGAAATTTTGTTATTGTGTCCTTTGGATCTTCGGCATTAAAGATTGAGGTTCCTGCAACAATAACATTTGCGCCTGCTTCGGCTGCTTGATCAATATTTTCTAGTGATAATCCTCCATCTACTTCTATATCTAAATTTGGGAATCGTTCACGAAGAGCTTTAACCTAGATTTTTTAGTCATATAAAAATCAAAAAGCGTTGAAATTAAAAATAAAATTGAAAAGGTTAAAAATATCTAATGATGAAAATAAAAGGTGAACAAACCTTTGGAACGCAATTAGCCATAAACTTCTGACCTCCGAAGCCAGGTTCTACTGTCATCACTAGACACATATCCATTTTATCGGCTATATCATAGACTTTATCTATAGGAGTGTTTGGTTTCACAGCAACGCCTGCTTTCATCCCAGCTTTATGAATTTTGTCAATCAGTTCGAGTGGTTGGTCTATTATCGAATAATGTATAATGATATTCATAGTTATTATAACAAATTCTGGTAAAGTTCCATTTGAAATTGCATTTACCTGTTGCTTCAATATGAAATGTGTACATTGATGCTCCAGCTTTTGCGAAATCATCAACCCACTAATTACTCATGATGTAATAAGCACGTTAGTTATTTAATAAAACATAAAAATTTAGGAAATACAAATGTCATAATTAAACCTTTTCTGGATTGTCAACCATCAAGTGGCAATCTTTTTTAAAGAATGTATGTAATTGATCAATTTTTTGAATCTCAGTACAAAGAAATTCATACATGTTAAAAGACTAACCGAGAAATGCGGTCACATGTTTACGTAAAGCTTTTATAATAGGCGCACCAATAGTCAGATTTGGAACAAAATGGCTATAAGATCAGGTTATAAAAAAGTTTGAAAAAATCACAAATTTTCCTCGATAAAGAAGTTCAAATAAAAAAATTCTCAATTTTACCCATCCATCACATCTGAATAAAAATATTTATCAGATTAAATAATTCTTGAGAAAACAACGAAAGGGATGCGACTTGGCGAAATGCACGAAAAGGTTACCCATATGCAGCCAATCCGCCCCATCTTTTACCATACGGTTGCATTCGGTTGCTAATTGCGCGAAGTCACTGGAGAGCACTGATGGAGCAATTTTTGCAACTGGCATTTTTTAGAATAAACTCGATATGAAATCGATAGCTTAATTCATATTAATTAGTTTATATCGAACTAAATACATGTATGACGCAAAGGATGAGATCTAATCATTTCTCAATCTGGGGTCGTTTATCAATCGCAATCTAAAATTGTCACACAATCATCAGAATATTTACGATAAAATGGCTGGTTGGTCTACAATAGAATGTCATCCAACTTCCATTTGAACCTTTCGATAAAAAAAAAATCAAATCCTTTAAGAAAAAATGTCTGGCTTTAAATCTTTGCCATATTTCGAACAATTGAAAACCAACATTGAAGCAGATCCAGCACCATATATCAAAAAAGTAAATTATTGTTTATAAAATTTAACATATAATGTAGAATAATAATAATCATCATATTGACAATAAAACATTTTATATTTGTATAAAAGGCAAAAGGTATCTATGAATTTCATATCCAGAACAAAGATAACCAAGAACAAGTCTGGACTATTAATTTAAAAGATAAAGGCGAAGTAACCGCTGAACCTAGTAAAAGTAAACCAGATATCGTAATCACCGTGAGTGATGACAATTTTGTCGATTTGGTTGATGGAAAGATTAACGGTAAATGAATTTAAAATCACCACCTCCTATTGACCATCTAGCTTTTAAATTTGACGATTTTTGTATAATTATTAATTTTTGAATTTTTTATTATTATATGAAAAGGTAACAAAGCTTTTATGGAAAGAAAACTTAAAGTGAAAGGCAATATTATGCTAGCTACCAAACTTGACGGTGTATTACAGGCCGCCAAGGCAAAGGCAAAATTGTAAAGAATGAAACGATCCGGACGTATTGAGGTCAACGAAGAGTGATGGATTCCTTTTTATTTTTATTTGTTACTTATTATTGTATCTAAATAAAGGGATTTTAATAATAAAGAATCAACCATGAAATGTACTATTTTTTTTTATGTGGCAGTATCTCATATATAAATTTATGTTGATATCAAATATGTTAAAAAAATTGTGTAATATCGATATTGGTTACTGTAACCTGTTTAGTAATGATCAGATCAAGAATTTTCTTGTATGACTTACTTTCTTGGTATCTGTTTCTTCGATGTCAGATTTTCAGGTATAAAATTGAGCTAAGCTCTATTATGATTAAGAAGCTTGAATTGCTAAACCCTTTTTTTATGTTGGGGGAACTAGTCTCTCACCACACTCATTAAGCGCCTCGAAGCAGCCACCTCACGTCTTGAGGATCTTGCAACCTCGGGTGCCTCTGTTGTAACTGTTGGTACAAATATAAATCGAAGTTCACTTGGAACCCAACCAGTTGTACCTTCCTCGCTGGTTCTTCCACCTAACAATGATGCTACGGCTGAAACTGAGCCGCCACTCGCACTTTCCGCCTACGATGAATTAATAGAAGGTCCTTTGAAAACCTTTGTTGAACTTTCAAAAAGTATTGGCGGGCTTGTTGAGGATCAAGTATTTGATAAGATTTTATTAGATACGGGGCTTTTCATTTGTGACTTTTGAGAGCTTTATCAATTCAATTTTCGTATTTTATAATTTTAGAGCCATGCTGTCGAAAATATATTTATAGCACAACGTGATTTTATTTACATTGCCACAAAGAGCGTTAAACCAGACACCACGTCTGAAACGTTTGCCGAATTGATAAAGCCGACATTGCAAGCCCTTGAAAAGGTTTGTGAATATAGGGAGAATAATCGGCCATCTCCATTCTTTAATCATTTATCTACCGTCGGCGAAGGGATTGGAGCATTAGGTTGGGTGACTTTGGAGTCTAAAACGGCACCTTATGTTGGTGATTTAAAAGAGAGTTCACAGTTTTACGCGAATCGTGTGATTAAAGAGTTTAAGGATAAGTAGGTTCTGTTCTTTGTTATCGGAGTTTTGGCTTTTGATAATCTCATACGAAGGAGATATATTTTGAAATTTTATTTATTAATTGTAAAATTATTATTAGGGATCGTACCCACGTAGACTGGGCAAATAGTTTTGTGGTACTTTTAACAGAATTACAAAACTACGTGAAAAATTATCACACGAATGGGCTTGTCTGGAATCCACAGGTATCGTGAAAAAACGATAACCAGGATTTTTTTATCATTATTTGATAATTTTCTAGATAACAATTTTTCTTGTGCTTCTCTTAATCAGGGTGTCGATGCTAAAAATTTTGTTGGAAGAAAACCCGCTGCTCAACCTACTAATATCTCAAGCACTATAGCTTCAACAACAGCAGCAGC